GGCCGCTGGTGCCCCATGAGTTTCGCCCTTCTTTCCAGTCTGCGCAGCTTTGTCTTCAGCTCGCCAGGTCCAATAAGGCCCGCGGCGCTGGCGTCGATCTTGTACTTGTTACGCAACCACTTGACCAGTCGGCTGGACGAGACGTGAAGGTGGCGTTCGCCTCGCGCGGTACCAAAGAGCATAAGGAGGTTGGGGCCCAGCGCTGGCGGGGGATCCATTTCACGAAGGTCGAGAAGTTCCAGGTCGTCGAGGCCCATCTCCTCGTAGGCAAATTTCATCATGTGCTCGAGGATTGGGGGCGCGCCATCGGGGACTGTGGGGAGGGTAGGGACATGCTGCGTGGGCGCATGAACGGGCGCATCAACCTGGAGATACCATGGCGTTTCGGAGCTTGCTTCGGCCGTCTTGTCGCCAGCGCTGGCGTCGGCCTCGGCGATGGAGGCAGCTTCCAACGCATCGATCGCATCTCCCAAGGCGCTGTGTTCCTCTGTCGTGATATCAGGCTTCTCCTGGAGCTCAGGGTCTGTATCTTTGGCTTGAAGAGCGCCTCCCGTGCGGGCGGATGTGAAGGATCGGGTCGCTGGCACAGAGCTGCGGATGATTCGAGATGGAGCTGCCTGTGATCGAAGAGCAGGTCGAGACGCCGAGGCCACAGCCCTCAGAGCGGCTATCCTGCATTGGAGGCAGCCTAGTGCCGCCATTGCCGGTCGAGACGCCATTGTAGGGGTAGCAGGTAGTCCTTAGATGGAAAGGTGATGGCTTCGATGTCTTGAGATGCAAAGCATGCCTAATCAGGCACATCGAAAAATGGAAGCTTGTAGTACGGCGGACTCTTGCAGCCAAAAGGAGGCTCCAACGCCACTGAGAACCTAAAGTCCTGGTTTGTCCCACTTTTCCGCGTCTTCGCGTTCCGTTAGGCACTGTGGCAGGCACGAGAGCACGTGACCTAATTGTGATACAATCGCAATTGGCCAGTCACAGTTACAAGTGGGTCGTAGCACCCCGGTAGCCAAGGGCAAAAATTTCGGGGAGCTCAGCGTCGACTCCTTATCGACCAGAGAGAGTCTTAGACGATTGCCTCTTGCCTCTGTTCCCCCATCGCCGTTCACCACCTGCGACACGTCCCAGCGCAATAGACGTCCACATTCCCTCCCATCCAGCATTAGATCTTTAATTATCTGCCTTTCTCATCCCATGTATTCGTTTGTTTTTTGATTCTTCGACATTGCGCCAGCTCACTGAGCTACTCCAGTCCTTCCGAATCCCTCCCTATCGCGTGCACTAGCAAAGTCGTCAAGATGCTCATGCGATCAGGCAGAAGACACCTCAGCCTTCATCACGCTGCCACATTACGGCCATCCCAACCTCTCACAAAATGCATTGGTGCAAGCACAAATCTGGCATGCTCCAGTAGGAGAAGCCTCGTCACGAAATCTGAGTTGCGGATCTTCAAGAGGAGGCGAAGCTTCGGCGCCGCCGCAGGATTTTCCCAGGGACGCACTCTGGCCACCGCAATGGACGATGTCCCCCTCACCGAACCATCCTCCTTTGGCGGCATGAAGGCCGCAGCGATGCCCACCTATCCTTCGATGATCAACCGACCCAGATACCACGACCTCCGCGCCTTTGACCCCTCTTCGCCCTTGCGGGTTCAGGAGGCCACGGCCCCTATTCCCCGAGCCCGAACAAGTCTCACAGGCGTCCCTGGTGACGTAGATGAGATGATCGCCATCTTCGACGCCTGCCTCCGAGTCGACAACCTAGAACGTGCTGGTCTCGTCCTCAAGCGTCTCAGTGCAGTGGAGGGCGTACCGAGCCAGGAGCTCATGATTCTTGGCAACCAGTTCCTGCGAGCCTCGCTCGAGCAGCTGCGCTCACATCCTGACAGGAAACAAGCCGGAGATCTGCACAAGTGGTACGAGCTGTTCGTTCGTGGCAAGGGTCTGCCTCAGACCGCCGAGACCGTGGCATGCATGCTGAAGGCTTCTCTGCTCTCCGAACACCAGCCCGACAGGCTCGACCGACTGGTGCTGCGTTACATGAGCATGGCACCGGGCGAGGCTGGTCTGCGGGTCTTGTCGATGGCCGATATTTTGAATGATCAAGATCTTGCCACTATCACAGAAGTCTGCCCAACCTACAACCTCGCCCCCGAAGAGCCCTCTGCGGCAGTCGAGGAAGCCGAGGAACAGGCCACCCAGCCCACTCGCCTCCCGCCTCAGCTTCTTGGCGAGCTTCCCGAAGTGCTGGCCACCCCCCAAAAGGGATTCGGTCTCAAGACTCTCAAGCAAACTCTCACTCTTTTCGACAAGATGCCTCAGGACTGCGATATCTCGACCCTCTCCTATGAGCAACAACGCGAGATTCAGGCCCGGCTGGAACGTGACTGTATCGACGCCGCTGTCGAGCGATGGCGCGAGGAGAACGAATCGCTGAAGAAGATGGGTCTCAACAGCTCCGTGTCCGCCGCTTCTTTGAACTCGCGTCTTTACGACTGGCAGCTCGCCCTGGAAGCTCGCCTGACCGACGAGATGCGCAAGGTTGAACTGGCCGAGGCCAAGCCCAGGAAGACCCCCGAAGACTACGATCGTTGTACATACGGCCCTTTCCTCCGACTCTCCACCCCCAGCCGCTTGGCCGCGGTAACAATTCTCGGCACCCTCAGCTCCACGGCTATCCTTGGTGTCGACAAGGGCATGCCCCTCTCGGCAGCTCTGAGCAGCCTCGCGAAGCTGGCTGAGGAGGATATCCGCGCGCAAATGACCGTCAAGAACAGCAAGACGAAGACGAACAAGTCGAAGCGGAGGCGGGTTGTGCAGGTCGCCAGCAAGTCGTCAAAGCTAGATGCGGTGCGCGCTGAGCTCGGCGCCGAGGGCGAAGTCAAGCCGCTAGCCAAGGACACCGAGCCAAGGGCAGACACACCGTGGCCTGTTGCCGTCAAGGCCAAGGTTGCTGCCGCTCTTCTCTCCGCTCTGATCGATACGGCCAAGATCAAGGTCGTCAAGGAACACCCCGAGACCAAGACGCTCATCAGTCAATACCAGCCGGCCTTCTCGCACGCCACCCAACTCCGCCGTGGTAAGAAGATCGGCATGGTCCTGCTCAACAAGGAGCTCGTCAACATTATGAAGCGCGAGCCACAAGGCGATTTCCTCGCCAAGCACTTGCCCATGGTTGTCAAGCCCGAACCGTGGTCCAAATTCGACAAGGGTGGCTTTCTTGAGAGCACGAGTAACCTCGTCCGCGTCAAGCACGGTGACAAAGATCAGAG